GACAAGATTTCCTTTGTTTTGATCATGCGGGAACCTCAGTTCAATTCAGTTCAAAGACTGAAAAGAGACTAAAAAGTCAAGCCAATGCAGAAGTGCCTTAAACCTGCATTTCAAATGGTGAGCAGGGGGCCATTGCGTATCTGCTGGCAATGGTGCGGGAGGAGTAGCATCGTGAAAATCCATACAGACTCATTTCAGGCAAACCAATGAGAAAAATAAAGAGCGAAGATAACAATAGCGTAAATGAAGGCCTCTCGACCAGGTGTCAGCTGACAAATACATGCATTAGTGCACAACATGGCCGACTACGGCCCCTGTATGTAATAAGGCTGCACATTAGCCTGTGAAAGCAGTTTTTAAAGAGAAACTTTATACGTCATACCAGCAGTTCAGGTTTTCATTAGTTTTACTGAACTTAGTTGTTGGCTCTGCTCATGGTCCACATAAGCTGTTGACATTATGGGATATGTCTGAACACATCCAGGCTATTCTAAAAGAGATGGTGATGATGATTCATTGCAGAGGGGACGAGGACTAATACCCTTTTACACCGGGCACTTTTTTCCCACATAAATTGTTACAAAAAACTGCGAGGGAACATGAAAGCAGATAGGCTGTCATCTGCTTTCACACCTGTTGTTCGGTTTATCAGGTATGGATCAAGGGAATAAAATTTGAACTTTTTAGTAATGGTCCGGGGTAATGTTCACATTGACTTTTTACAAACAAACTCGTATGAGGTTACCTGTCTGAATCATACCTACACCAAGTTCTTAGGGTGCATCACAAAAACCTCAGCTTGCATCTGAGTCACAAGTTAGCTCACTATGAAGGTTAGCTAAAAGCATGCATTAAGAACTTGAAATTAAACCCAAACGTACCGTTAATGGTGTGGATGGTACTGGTGGAACTGCTCCCTGGAGACACAACATGGCAACTTCCATGGAGCAGGGGACCCACAGTTTATGTAGATAGAAATGGCTCATTCTAAGGTAATAAAAACGGTTCATCATGTAAAGTCTTTTTACACCACTGAAAACATAGTTATGGGTGTTATATTGCATTTCTGTCAATCAATCCTCCTAAATATTACACACTGAACCTTTAAATGTAAGACTTTAGATTAATAATTTCCACTGCACAGTAACTTTTGTTTTTGGGGAATTGTTTTTTTTTTAAATCTGATATTCCTTGCTTTATGAAACTCAGTTGGTTTGTCCTCTCTCATAAGTAGTCAAACAAAGTCTTGACAGGGCTGAGTAGAATCTCTAAAGCAACTTCTACCTACCTAAAAAATACTAATTACAATAATACAATAATTGCCACTATATCACACGGGAACCTATAGCAAACTTGCATTTGGAAGTTGGACCGAAAAACACAGCAATCAACAGGATATGGGGGTGCGTTATTTCCCACGGAAATCACAATAACACCCTATAAACCTCTTACTTGAAATCGTTATTGGTAGCAATATGTATCATGTCCGTTTAGGTAATCCGGTGGAGATTGTTATGTAGTGTATAGTGATCTCCTTCAGGTTCCAATTTTCTTTTGGCAAACACAAAACAAAGTGACGTCATGGCCACACTGCAGGGGTTTCCTGCACTCCCATAAAGGCCAGTAGGAATCCAGTGTTTGACTTCAAGTAATAAAAGGCTGCCTTACCAGGCTTCTGGCCCTACATGTAGGCTGCTTCTTTGTTTCCATACATTAAGATCCCCAAAAATGGTTAATCGTCATCTTCCTTCTGCAGGCAAAGTGAAAGTCCTGGTTGCACAGCTATCTTTCTAGACTAGTAATAGTAAAACATTTGATTGGAAGTGGTACATCTCCCATAGCAACTTCCTTTGCTTTCTAAAGGCAGTGTCGAGGTCAAACACTGAATCTTATATCCTAGGTGATGTCATGGCTGCATCACAGAATTTCCATGAGTTTCTGTGGGTCTCGTCCAGTGGGAAACCAGGATTTGGATTCAAACCAAATCTCTCGCACACATGAGAGTTTGAAGGCCTTGTGTGGTTTTGTTGCAGTTTCATTGTTCAGGCTTTTGTTTTAACTTGTAGCTTCTCTTTGCTCACACATGTGGTGAAATCCCTAAACTGATATGCCAACCATAAGTGGTATGCTGCTAACTTTACATGTGTGGGCTGTCAAGTAAGGGTTCATTCAGAACTAATTACATCTATTGTATTACAGCTCCAGACTGTTGCTGTGGTAAAGGCCACCTGGATTCCCCCGCCGAAACCACTGAAAGAAAATGTAGACTACACTCAACAGGAATCTGTCGCCCAGGTGAGTTGTTGGTTTCACTAAAACTCTCTTTAATGCTACCCACTAACTTTGAAACTCAATCACTGTAGATTGAGCACCTAAAATATAAAGCTGTTAAAAGGGACCTTCAGCTGAAAACCATAAAAGAAAAAGTAGTACGTAATGCTATCTACCACAGCGAGGATATGTGGCCGAAGAAGCCCTCAAGTACCTTTAAGTGCTCTAATGGAGTCATTTCTTGATTGACAAAACTGCTAGGACAAACAGTTTGATAAAACTGTACAACAAAATGAAAGTTTGTAGTTTCATGCTGCACACATAGATTATAAAAGATAAATACTTTTGTAGTAGAATATGGTAACATATAATAATATATCCGTTATTGATTGGAGACTGCAGCTGATCGGACTGATCTGAGTTTCATACTGGAGAGAAGAGCGATAACAGATTAAACATTTTTTAATTAATTTGTTTTATGAATCACTGTCTAGTTAAAATCTGTGTTAATTGTAGGTCTGAACAACAAAAGGACCAAACACAACTTTCCACATTTATTAAAACAGATTTCCTTCTCTGTTATTTATCCCATTAAATTTTATTATGGAGACAATTAAACTGTCTACAAGAAACACTTTTTATATTGTTAATCGTCATTTCCATTCAGTCACTTGATGCTGATTTGTGTTTAGTCCAAATAGACCACAGTGATCGATCAGTGACGATGTGATGTGACTTGCAAATTAAATGTATGGAGCAGTGTGAAAAGGGTGGATAAATAAATGGAAAGCCTTAAAATGAGCTAAAGTCAGCTTTGATGTGAGTTACATAATTTCAATTTACCCTGAAACATTTAGCCTAATAAATCAAAGGACATGTGATCACATTCAATAGCCTAATTAGGCCTAAAATGCAGATAATCAGTAAATAATACAAACGCTTTCTCCCAGTAGAGATGATCCTGTATGTCTGAACAGGACCCAGTATAGGCCTACAGTATAACATGTTCTCATCTCAGGGCATCAAATATGCCAACTACACTTTGAGAAAGTCTGACAAAGTGTCAGTAGCCTATCAATATAATCACAGAATGCAGGTTGTTCTTCATCTGCAGGTGTTTTTTACAGTTACAGAGAGAAAACATGCTGCTCTGCAGTGATAACTGTGACACTAGATTAGTGTTAGCACAGTGCACGTGTGCAGACACAAACTGCATCAAAAGTTGGCTGCTCCTGAGACCCTGTGTCCTCATATGGGGACATTAGATTTTGGGCTCCCTGCACTGTATACTTAATTCTACTTTACTGAGACCTATACTCCTCCTTAGTGGACAGTTGCCTGTGCCATTTAGTGGTAGCAAAACCAAAATACACTCATTTGTGGAAAAACAAGATGGCGTCACTATCAACAAATACTTTCTACAGCCGGAGCAGAGAACAAAGTGGAAAAGGAAAAAATCCCAATAAAATTTTGTGGTTGAAACTTGTTAATTTATGCTTGCTAACATGTGTTGTTTGACATGACATACAGATCTGACTTTTTTTTTCAAAAGTAACAAGCTAAGATGTAAATGCTCCATATTTGTATAGCGCCTTTCTAGTCTTTTCGACCACTCAAAGTGCTTTTACACTACATCTGCATTCACCAGTCAAACACTGAGCCTTAAGTGCTCAAACAGAAACTAACATTCACGCACATTCAGGGGCAATTCAGGTTTCAGTATCTTGCCCAAGGACACGCAACCAGGGGGAGCCAGGGATTGAACCGCCTGGATTAACGGCCAACCCGCTCTACCTCCTGAGCCACAGCCGCCCCAAAAGATGCTGTTTATTAGCATTAGTTTTCTACTTTATTACACATTGGTGACTTTATTGTGTTTTGTAGTAAAATAGACCCAATGTCCCCATACGAGGACGTCATTTTTTTCAAAAAGTGCTTCCTGTTCAAAGTCAATGTTTAGATTTTTATACTTATTAGGTCCTACTTATCCCAAATAGCCAAGAGAAATTAAAAATGCACACAGAATCAAAGCTCAGGTCTTAGGAGGTTAAAGCCGACTGACAGCAGTGAAACGGACGTCGCTTCACGTGATGCTTTGGAGGAAAGGATCTCTCCTCTCCACACAAGACACAAGTATGGGAAACATGGATGCAATTAAGAGAATAGAGAAGCACCACGGCTCTCTTCTCCAGGGACAATCACTGTGCCTGCCACAGTGCCTGGAGTGGATTGCATTGAATGCATGAAGGTTTACCCATTGAGCACAGCGCTATTGCTTTGGATTCTAAGCAACTGCCTGCACACCATCCGTCTTGTACACACAACATTCTAATCTTTACCAGGAGAAGAATGTCCTGCACATACAAGTTATCATGTCCAACATGACAACACAACACGTTTCACTAACAACTGGATGATCAAAAACAGACTAACACAGAGTTACCAGAGGGGGCCACTGGAACATTTTCAGCATCTGCAAGAGAGAAAGGACTATCTTATCACAGACCAGCATACAGGTCGTGGCATCCAAATAGCAGCATGAGCAGCCAGACAAGCTGGACAAACAAAATTAGTGTTCAGCAACAAATAATGGTTTAGTTTTTGTTTTTCTACTCTCTTGAAATAGTTTTTAAACTTTGCAAATAGTTGTTCTTAAGGTGTTTGTTGTCGTTACCTTCTGGTGCATGAATGAGACTTTTTAGCTGAATCAGCGCTTCTCTGTGTTTCAGATTCGTTCAGATTTTGACGATGGCACTGGGAATATTTACTACTCTCTAGAAGGCATTGGTGCAAACCAATATCCCTTCAATGTGTTTGAAGTTGACCCTAAATCTGGACTAATTCGTGTGACCAAAATTCTCGACAGGGAGGATATCGACACGTACAATGTGAGTGATACATGACAGGTTCTGTTCTGTTATGCTTTTGGATTTTGATGTCACTTTTCACTTCACTTTTATGTCATGTCTTCATTCAAGATTCAGTAATTGCAGCTTTTCATAATTAATGTGGAGATATTTGGCAGCCATTTGCTACACATCAGTCTCACATGCTGTTTATGTTTGTAAATGCACATGCTGATTTGAGTTTTCTGTTTCAGCTGGCAGGGGTCGCTAGGTACAGGGATGGCACCTATGCAGAGAAAAATATTGAAATACGAATGAAGGTTGTAGATGAGAATGACAACGCTCCAGTGTTTGGAGTCATCAACCCGGGGGCGGTGTCCGAGCTCTCTCCTGCAGGTCAGTGTTTCTGCTTTTGTGTACAATTCAGACAGATCCTGATATGTGATGGCAAAGAAGTTCCTGACTTCATTAATAAGGCAAAACAATGTGACTTGAAGTTTTTTCTTTTTGTAACATCTGTTATGTTTACATTGAGAGTGTTACTAACCAAAAAACACTGTATTTATCCATGAGATCTAACAAACATAAATCATTGTTTACATCCATGTTTAATACTTAGCAGTATTCTTCTCCTTGCCTTTGTTGGCACATTGTTACCTGTCAATCAGTGGAATACTATGCAACCACTATGCAACTCGCAATAATGTGTATTGCATCACCTGCAAGCACATGCATGGGACAGACAAAATCTGGACCCACTCATAGCAAAACTCCTCCACTAGAGCACTGTTAAATACCACACAATGCAAAATAAAGTTAACATAAAACAACTTTACATTATTATGGGTATGTTGTTCACTTCTTACTGGGATAGATCGCCATGATAATTTATGCTGAATATGCTGAGATCAACTCTATAAAAGCACCACTTACTGACCAATCAGCTCTCTGGAAAATAAATTAATCTCTTTTTTGAAGTGATGAGAAGTCACTTTTAAGTGAGGTGGATCAACCACTTATTCAGTGCCCGAGTCTTTTTAATATGGAAATGCCGACACACAGCCGAGCTGAAAGAATAAGGCTAATATTTTCATAGATGCCATGTCACACATCAGATCAACGCATTATTACCATTTTGTCAAGGTGTTCTCACTATGATTCCTGTGCTACAATTGTGCATAATGCTGAATGGTGGCTGCGCTATGGCAGTGCAGAACGCAAATAGAAGGATTAGAGAGTGTCTTGGCCCATGAGGATGACTGGCTAACATCGATTTAGATTCCAGAGAGCCATGCTCTTGGATCTGTGTGCTGAACTGGGTCCAGCATTACAGACAGAGCAACCTGACAGAGCCATCCCAGTACAAATACACATTGGCTATAACCATTTCTGGTAGCCGGCTGGTCTTCTCACCTCCACTTAAGTGATCAGCTCTATGATCTCGAACTCAGCTAAGTTTCTCTGTTTCACATGCTTTGCAGCAAGATTGGCTGTTGTTATTTGTACTTTAGGAGGTGACTGCGTAATTTATGCTTATTTGCATAGTAATTTATGGGAGTAGCCAAGGTGGGGTACGTGGATTGTGCGTGTGCACTCAATTTCATGTTGATTGAGATGTATGAAGGAGCATAGGACCTGGTTTTATATTTGGATTTGTAGATACATGAGGCCCCTGGTCCTGAATTCCTTCAACAACATCAGCCTTTGATATAACAGTCTAGGTCACTTTTTGAGACTTGCCTTTTTTCAGAGCGTACTGTGGAGTCCCCAAAAGAATACATGGCTCCACTGGCTAACCTTCTGGACTCCTAGTTGTAGCTGGTTTTGAGTCCTTATCTCCAGTAGCAGAGCAGAACCATGGCTCAGGGTGGGCGGCCATCTGCCTCCATCGGTTGGGGGTGAAGGAGAGAGAGGGAGAGAGAGATAGAGAGGGCAGGAGAGGAACAGAGAGAAAAACAGAGGGATGGAAGGAGAGAGAGGGGAGGGAGGCAGCCTACACAATATACACACACAGAGGTACAGACAGTAAAGGTGATGTTGCTATAGACTAAATGAAAAACGGTACAGATATTTACAGTAGTGTTAATGATAACAATCGTAATGTTAATGATTATAATAACAATAATAACAATAGGACTAGTAACAATAATTGGAACAGAGGGTGTCGAGCAGGAACACGGGGGCAGCAGGTGACCCGCAGCCACAGATCCAGACTCCACAGCTCCAGAGCCAGAAACACCTGCAGGAAGTGATAGGAGAGAGGAGAGGGACGAGAAAGCACAAGACTACCAGAAAGGGGAGAAGTTGTGTTAGTAACATGCAATAATGGGATGAGGTTGCATACAGAGGGAGAGAAAGTAGAGGAGAGAGGAGCTCAGTGCATCATGGGAAATCTCCCGGCAGTCTAGGCCTATAGCAGCATAACTAAGGGATGGTTCAGGACTCACCTGAGCCAGCCCTAACTATAAGCTTTATCAAAGAGGAAAGTCTTAAGCCTACTCTTAAATGTGGAGATGGTGTCTGCCTCCTGAACCCAAACTGGAACCTGGTTCCACAGGAGAGGAGCTTGATAGCTGAACGCTCTGGCTCCTAGTCTACTTTTGGAGACTCTAGGAACCACAAGTAACCCTGCATTCTGGGAGCGCAGTGCTCTGGTGGGGTAGTAAGGTACTATGAGCTCTTTAAGATAAGATGGTGCCTGACCATTAAGAGCTTTGTAGGTAAGAAGAATGATTTTAAATTCTATTCTGGATTTTACTGGAAGGCAATGCAGAGAAGCTAAAGCAGGAGAAATGTGATCTCTTTTCCTGGTTCCTGTCAGAACACGTGCTACAGCATTCTGGATCAGCTGAAGAGTCTTAATGGACTTTTTCGAGCAGCCTGATAATAAGGAATTGCAGTAATCCAGCCTAGAAGCAACAAATGCATGGACTAGTTTTTCTGTATCATTTTTAGACAGGATGTTCCTTCCAGGATTTTTGCAATATTACATAGGTGAAAAAAGGCGGTCCTTGAAATTTGCTTAATGTGAGACTTAAACGACATGTCCTGATCAAAGATAACTCCAAGATTCCTCACAGTGGTGCTGGAGGCCAGGGCGATGCCATCCAGGGAAACTATATCTTTAGATAATGCGTCACGGAGGTGCTTAGGCCCCAGAACAATAACTTCAGTTTTATCTGAGTTTAACATTACGGGTCATCCAGGTTTTAACATCCTGAAGGCATCTGGCTTGATCGATAGATATTACTGAGTATCATCTGCATAACAATGAAAGTTTATGGAATATTTCCTGATAATATTGCCTAAGGGAAGCATATAGAAAGTGAAGAGGATTGGTCCGAGGACAGATCCTTGTGGAACTCTATGACTAACTTTGGCGTGCATGGAGGACTCATCGTTAACATGTACAAAATGAAATAATGATAAATAGGACTTAAACCAGCTTAGAGCGGTTCCTTTAATGCCAATGAAATGTTCCAGTCTCTGCAATAGGATCTGATGGTCCATGGTATCAAATGCAGCACTAAGATCGAATAAAACCAGTACAGAGACAAGTCCTTTGTCTGATGCAATTAGGAGGTCATTAGTAATTTTCACCAGTGCTGTCTCTGTGCTATGATGAGCTCTAAATCCTGACTGAAAATCCTCAAATAAACTATTGCTATGTAGAAAGTCACACAGCTGTGTGGACTTTAGAGGGAAATGGAAGATTACATATAGGTCTATAGTTGGCTACAACATCTGGATCAAGGTTGGGCTTTTTCAGAAGAGGTTTAATTGCAGCTAATTTAAAGTAATGTGGTACATAGCCTAAACAGATAATATTGTTAGTGATACATATACAAAAATGATGTTTTTGTAAACCTGCCCGCAAGGATTCTACAGAGATAAACACATACACAAAGAAATGCACTTAACATGCTTGATAGACCTCAAGGATACACATAAAGGGCCTCGAGCAAGGACATTTTTGTATATTTATCTCAACTTTTGCTTACTTTTATCGTGTAACGTGCATAAACATAATGATTGCCTTCTTTGTGTAATTTGAGAATTCATGAGAATTGTATATTTGCATAATTAACAGAAGCACAGCCTGTGAAGGTCCAAACCGTGACAAGGAAAAACAAGGGATATGGACCCAAACACACAACACAGGCAGAGCAGATGTAGTTTATAGTGTTTAGGCAATAATCCAAAGTCTAGAAAACCAAAGTTAAATCCAAACATAGGCAGAAACTCAGATGTCTCTCTCAAAAAACACACGCACTGGAGACAAGCAGGGACGCTTGACAGAATACGAAGCCGAACCAACACCAGACAATGGAAAGACACAGACTTATACACAAGAGGGAGGTGATGAACACAGGTGAAACACAAACCAGGAACACAGAAAGCAAAGTTACACAAAACACAAGAGGGAGAATCCTTTCAAAATAAAACAGGAAACAGAACACAAACACAAAACCACCATAATACCAACACAAAACCCAGAAACATCTGTCTCTGCCAATATATCAGTATGCTGTCAATAGCCAATTTAAATGAATGATGATATTGTTAGGCCACATGAATAAATTAACTATATTATAATTCTAATTGAGTACAGGATACACGATAATGTTAATATAATTAGTGTCATTTATATAGTATTTTCAAACTCAAATATACTTAAAAGTAAGGAAATATACAATCCATTAGTGAAAAACTTAAGTTGAGATAACTGCAGACTAATTGCACATGACTCCTACACAGGTCTGGAGTAAATTGTGTTTGTGAGAGTAAATTGGTGAATGTAAGCAAGTTCTAAATCAGTCGTACAAGAAATCTGTTCGTACATGTGGTTCTTGCATGAGGCCCATAGTGTTTTGTGAGAAACACTGGATGTAAACATAACTTTTGTTTATTCACAATAAAGCCACACAGAGCATCTTTTAGTATAATGGCTGTTTCATTTAATGTTTTTTTGTTTTGTTTTTTTACAGGGACTTCAGTTATGAAAATAACTGCAACTGATGCTGATGAACCAGGACATGAGAACTCTCAGATCGCATATTCCATCATTGATCAGAATCCACCTCATAATATGTTTTACATTGATAATGATGGAACCATCTATACCAAAGATTCTGCCCTGGACAGAGAGGTACAGTATGAAGTACACCAACACATCAACAGGGCCATAGCCACCGCAGAGAACTGAAATTCTGCACTCAGATCAATTAATGAGGATTAGCAGATCAATTACAGCTAATTCTCAGTAATGGTGTTGACAATTTGGTAAAAACAGGGTCCTTTTTCCATTCTCGCACTCAAGACATTTTTTTAATTCTACCAACACAACATGGTGACCTATACACACTATAAGCTGCTCAAAGTAAAATTTTACGTAACAATAGATCAAATTACTTTGTACTTTACTTTGTAAAGCGAAGTGTTGCTAAAAGCGATGAAATATGACCCAACGCTGGATCTCCCCTGTAGCTCTAGAGAGCTTTTTAGCTTCTTTCGGCTCATAGTTTTGGTTTCACTGCGCACTAATTGCCTAGCACCAACTCCCACAGTGACAAAGTTAGGAACTAGATTGTGACTTAAATTCACCAGGTGACTACAAACACAACTAATTTTAACAAATAATTGCTAACATGTTCCATGTCGGCTGTGGTGTCCTGATCAAACATTTTCTGTTTGTGCTCATTGTCTACCATTTCCTGTTGCCAGAGGTACAGTGGGTTGTACAGTGGTACAGTACAGGTACAGTGAAGTTGCCAATATTCAAGCAGGCTCTCAAAATGAATGCTGTGGAAAATGTTCCCCAACTGAAAACCAACAGCAGTTCATCATTTTTTTCCCTTTATAGTATTTACCTAGACACTCACAATTCATTGACTATGAACCTATACTTTCTGTAAATTATGGCAAACAGGAGCATTGCTACTCTGACAAAGGTGCAACCATTCAGAAAACTTTATATAGTATAATTAATATTTTACCTCTCAGAATTCACACTTTTTTAAAGTCCCATCTCATAGCAATGTGTGAACAGTCTCTGTAAGTCATATATGATGTTTTCAAATTTCAGAAAGCAGATATGTACACTCTGACAGTGAGGGGTCAAGACCTAAATGGCAGACCAGGGGGAAACACTGGAACCGGCACTGTTACCATTAAAGTCCTTGATGTGAATGACAACCCACCCACCCTGGAAAAATCAGAGGTAGTTCTCACACTCTACTATATCAACATGTTATACTGAATTTTGGTGCAAGGAGAAATGGTTTCCATGAGGGTTTACAGAGTTGCATGGTTTCAGTGTTTCTTTTGAGGAAAAAAAGAATATTTGAAAATTTGCTCATATTACAGATCATGCATTAGTCAAAGAAATACACCAATACTGCTGAAATTACCATTACATTCATCTTATAATGTGTTTTACTTAGTATGCGGGCAGCATTGAGGAGAACACACAGGGTGTGGAGGTGATGAGACTAAAAGCAAATGACCTGGACCTGAAAGGCACAGACAACTGGGAAGCTGTGTTTGACATTGTGCAAGGCAACGAGGCAGGGTACTTCAGCATCAAGACAGACCCCAACACCAACGAGGGCATCCTAATGCTTGACAAGGTACTGCCGAAGCAGCATTTCTGCAATTTTAATTGAGAAGAAATATAGCTGTTGGTCTTTTGTGGGGTAAATGTGGTAAATGCAGTGATCATGCTTCATACACAATGAATAAAAACAAGTAACTTGGCCACCATTAAAAGAAGTAGGTGTAGACATGACTAGAAAAAAGTAACAAATAGGTTTACTGTGGGATGTAATTCACTTTTGAGGTGCCTGCAGGACATAAAAAAGATAACAAGTCACAGGGTCGGTGTTTTACAAGAGGTAAGGGTGGATTTAACAAGCCCCGTCAATCTGCTAAATATTTATGGTGAATTGGAATGCAAAATCAGGACATTAATCAACTGTCATCATTCAGTGGCATATAGGAACATTGTCCAAATGCCCAGGATGTTGAAGCAAGGTTAAGAGAGGTATCCCGCATGCCTTTCTTCCTAGCCACATCCTCCAGGTCGTACTGGGGGATCCCAGGCCAGACTGAGTATGTTGTTTTTTCAACACAACGGAGCAGCGTTTCTTTCTGGATGTTGGCATTTCATCCTTATACACCCATCCTATTTGTTAGGGTGTAAAAAACACTTCCACTTTATATCTGTGATCTTCATTCAGTGGTTACCCAAAGCATAGGTAGTTGGAACATTCCACAGATCTATCAAGAGCTCTCCTTCAGCAAATCAAATTTCATTCACTAATTAACAATACTTTTCATTTAAGTAAAATTTTACTCAATTTTGTGAGCTTGTATTGACAAATGTTCTGGCAAATAACTGTGTTCTCTGTGTTTGTGTGTGCCATTTCACAGGCTGTTGATTATGAGGTTGTGAAGAACCTTGAACTTGGACTAATTGTTAGGAACAAGGCTCCACTGTATGGTGGATCTGGGGTAAATGCTGGAGCTGGTGTAAGTTTTGGAGGGGGAGCAGGAGGAGCAGGGGCAGCAGGGGGAGGAGGAGGAGCAGGGGGAGCAGGGGCAGCAGGGGGAGGAGGAGGAGCAGGGGAGCAGGGGAGGAGGAGGAGCAGGGGAGCAGGGGGAGGAGGAGGAGCAGGGGGAGCAGGGGGAGCGAGTGGTACTGGTGCGGGAGGTGGGTCTGGAGGATCATCATGGCAAAGTGGGACCACATATACAACCTATCCAATCAAAATTAATGTGACGAACCAGCCTGAGGGGCCACGTTTTCAGCCCAAAGTCAAAGTCATTCCAGTCTCAGAGGGAGGCAACTCTTTCAACATTAAAGATGTTATCGCCAGCTACCCTGCATTAGATGGAGACACTGGGAAACCAGCAGAGAAAGTCAGGTCAGTGCAAACACAAACAAATACACAAGAAAACTCTGCAGTTAAAACTACAATGCTTAACTGTCTACACTCTACTATTTCTGCTGTAGTTATGCCAAGGGCTCAGACCCTGACAACTGGTTTACCATCGACCCAAATACAGCTGAGATCAGACTGAACAAGATGCCTGACAGAGAATCTCCACTCGTGGTCAATGGGACATACATTGCTCAAGTACTTTGCATTTCAGAAGGTACACTCTTCCACTATGTGTCTGCTCCAACTTCAGACATTTTGCATGACAGACTAGTTTTTTGCAGTGTGAAGTAGCTGGAAAGGAATGCCACATCATGCTTAAAAGTCTAAATTCTGACAATTTTTGCAAATCGAACAGCCTTGCCATTATTGGGGCTAAAATGTAAGGATTGAGTCTGAATATGGCTTTAGAAGAAAGGCTACATATTTCTTAAAAATTTTGGGAGCAAAGATGAAAATTTGACTTAGTTTATGAGAGCCTTTGCGCAATTTTCTAAAAGTTAAGTGTGTTAATAATTCGTCTTCTGGGAACCATAAACATCCACAGCAAATGTAGTGGAAATCCAGATGTCGGTTTGCAGGATCTTGTGTAACACCATCTAGCCACACTCACAGTAAGAGTGCTCAGGTTGCTAGCTAGCTATAACTAATGTCTGTACATTGGCTGTTTGCAGTGAGATAACACAGACTGCACAAACAGTCCAAGGGTCAAATTCACTTAAATAATAAATAAATCAAGGAGAAAAGTTGCTTAACCTTCTATCTGAGCATGTCATTAGGCCCACCACTAGCAGGACAAACAGTTGTGTACACCTGTTGTCCACCAGCAGGGAGTGTGAAGCGTTTGAACTTGTCTTACAGAATGGGGATATAATTAAAAGAAATGCTGAATGATCTGTTCTTATTTCTGTTTTTCCAACTCAGACATGAGTAAAACAGCCACCGGCACCATAGCCATCCAGGTGGAAGATGCTAATGACCACTGCCCCACCCTGACCAGTAACATCCAGACAATGTGTACCACGAATACTTCTGTTATTGTGAACGCCAAAGATGAGGACGCATCTCCTAACGGACCTCCTTTTGACTTTGTCATCATCCCAAAGGGCACAAAGGGCCAATGGAAGGTGGAGCATCTCAATGGTGAGGAGAAATCTGCCAACTATTTAAAAGTTATGATAGATAGATGTAAAACTAAATAAATACCCGTAGATACAAAGTTAGAAATTGCTCTACATGAATTGGTGTCTGGCTTAGATTTTTATTTTTTTTTAGCTTTTGCCAAAGTGAACATTGTTCAAATTCTACAGGAGTTGCTTTAAGGGTCTGACCTTAAAACTAGCACTTAGCGTGTTTTGACCATGACTCCTGGAACCTTGTTTTGAAACTAGAGTGTGGAAAAGGAAATTTATCCTTGAGTGTTTGATCCAGAATACTAATAACTTTAGAGTAAAGCATATTGACTTACTACACTCTTCATATGTTTGTCTTGTTGCGGGAAGACACTGCAGCTATCCTGAGAGCCCAGGAGTCCATGTGGCCTGGTGTCTATGAGGTGGAATTGGCAGTAAGCGACATGCAGGGACAGGTCTGTCCAGAACCACAGAAAGTGAAGGTCCAAGTTTGTACCTGTGAGGATGGAGTGGTGTGTGGAAAACAAGGCCTCAATGGTCAGGCCAGCAAAGAAGCAGTGTTAGGACCTGCAGGCATCGGACTGCTATTACTGGGCCTGCTGCTCTTACTACGTAAGTATGATGTGACGCTGTGAAATAATACTGTGGGACTTTCTTTAAGATCAACAGAATTCTAGATTAATAGTATATGTGGGATACCAATACTTAAAATAAATATTCTGAATACATAAGTTGTTACCAACTAAATGTAAAGCCTGACATACTCTACACAACTATTTAAATAGTCATTAGTACCATGTAGAGAGTACATGGTGTACTACTTTAGATATGCATGGGATACTTTAGATATGCAGTATAAAATCTTGAGTAATGAAATATTGCTGTGACCAAGTAAGGTCTTTAAATAGGAAGAACATCAAGACAAAGCCTAGGATGTCAGAGAGGTATTGGGTGGTCTTAATACAGGACTCAACATTTATAATCCCAAATTTTATTTATATTTTATTTTATAACATTAGTAACCCTTGGAAATAATCAACCATTATTTTTTATTGTATCCTTAAGTAAGATATTTCCATTATGCAGGCATCATAAATTCTTATATATTACACCCCAGTTATTAACACATTTAAAACCTGTGCCAGTCCCCAGCATTGCCATATTACAACATAGTAACATACAGGCAAGCAACAAATAAAAGGAAATACCAACATACCCAAAAAAGGTTAAACTCAAGAGCAACTGGACTTGCTTGAAGATACTCGAAGATGTTTCGCCCCTCGAAAGAGGCTTTTTCAGTTCTGACTGACTGGCAGGGAATTCCAGCTATTTCAAGTTCGTTAGTGCTCCTGGCTGTTGAAATGACAGACGTTATATTCGTTAGACACCCAAGGCCAAGTCTGAATGTCTGTCATTGGCATTCTCACATGAGCATTGTAAGTAGGGGGATAAGTGGTGTCACAAACTGCCTCCTCCCCAGGCGTAAAGCCTCTTTCCCATTACTGGTACCAGCTCAACTCTACTCGACTCGGTTTCTGCCCGCCGTCCTCTGTTTTCCACTGTAGATAGTAGCCAGATATAATACCCCTCAATATAGCAACACCACACACAACTGCCTTGACGTATTGCCTTTACTTGTTCAATGCGACACACACACAAGCTGTCTCTTGATTTAAGCTAAAATTAATCAGCATTACTCAAAATGTAAAGACAGAATAGCAGTATGACAATCTTACAGCTGTGTTTCCCTCTGCCGTTGTTGCTGGAGTTTCTGCTGTGTTGGCTGCCACGGTCTGTGTGACTGTGGGACCAGAGGGCTCCGTGAGTGGGCGGCCAGCTGGTCTCACAGGCTACTCCTGTGGGTTGGCGCGAGCTTCCCCCGCCACCACTTGCGGAGCTCCGAAAACAACAATCAGTAGTCTGCTGTGTTTTGATGTCACATTTTTGTATCGCCTCAGCTCGGGTGGGACCTCGATGGAGGTGATACGAAAAACAAGTACCGGGTACAGGTACAGCTTTTCCCCGATGGAAAACCAAAACAGGCTGGTGTATTTCCCATAGATGTAAACGCAGATGTGACCTCAGCCACTGTTACTAGTGAAACACCAAACGCCAGCTGAGTAGTATTTTTGACTGAAGCACCTGTCATCCATTGCCCCATAAATTAACGCTCTTTCAACATCTTTTTCTCTTGGCATCTTGATACAAAATCAGAGTCAATTGGCCCGCTCAGATTTTGTATACCTGCCACAGCCTGTAGAATATCCATTTAACATATCTAGAACTTCACTCAAATTGAAGCAAAACAAAAGAACAGAGTAGAAAGTTAGGCAGAACAAAAACTACAGTATTTATGTGTATGCGTATACCTAGATGCACTGTGTTATCCTGCCTATCACTATTCTTACTGTCAACATGTTTACTCATTCCATGACCACACTGAACAAAGCTGAGTAATTGTAAATGCATATATCATCACAAAACACCTTAAATATGATGTGTAGCATAATTCTTTATTCTATTTTTATGTTGACATACTTTACAAATTAATTTTTTTTTTTGTTGTTGAGTGGTTTGATGCCGTCGTCCTCTCATACTACAACCAGGAAGTTAAAAACTCGGGTCATGTGACACTAAACATGTGACACTGCGCATAGTTCATTGAGACCCTTTATTATTTCAATATTTGCTGGAAATACATTGATACGTTGTTCAATCACATTTTTAGAGCCTTATAACTGAAATTGTTTTTAAGGTCACTACTGATGGTATTAATTAAGACTAGAGCAGACTAGCTGATATCAGCTCATGACTGATGTATGAGTATACACATATGTTGGTTTATACCTTAATAAGGCCTGCAGAGTTGGCAAAAAAACTGTGTATTTATGTTTATGATTCCATGATGAAGCTGATTAAGATAATACATTGTCAGGTACTTTTAAATGCTTCAACAGTCACAAGGAAGCAGTAGCTGCGATGGGAAAATAAATCAGATCACAGTCTCTAACAACTCCAGTTTTCATTAAGGTCAATTCTGAGAGCTCTTTGCTTTAAGAGCTGATTGTGGGTCTGGCCAGCAGGGGGTAGTAGCTAAAACCTGACAACACACTCAAGAGTCGAAGTGCAACATGCAACTTCCACCAAAACGGTTATAGAAAAACTTGCCGTTAATAAAGAACTGCATGGTTGCCTGTTACAAGAGAAGACCTAACCACATTGTATTGAACCAGGTAAACTAAACCTGTCCCCACATCACACTTTGGGAGCATTATGTTTTCTAAAACTTGATTGTTGTTGTGTTTTAAAGTCATTCCTCTGTTGATGCTCTTCTGCCAATGTGGGGAGGCTGCTGGTCTGCCAGGGGGCTTTAGTGAGATGCCTTTCGACACCAAATCACACCTTATTAACTACCGCACTGAGGGCCAGGGAGAGAACACGGTGAGACATATTTATATCTCTGTTGAGGACAGGAACATAGCCATACATGCTAGTTGCTTGCTATTGAGATGCTGTATGAAGTGATGCTTGACATTTGGATCATTGGCCTGTGATAGGAGGTGCCGCTACTGACCATGCCAACACAACTGGATGGAGATACGGTCTCTATGGGTATGATGGCTAAAAAATCTTCAGCAATGGGGCCCATGGCAGGTTTGGATTTCCAGAAATCCGTCACTTCCATGGATGGGATGAACAGGGCTGCCTATCAGGACAGTTTTGGAAGTGGCCACAGAGAAGGGACATGGGGGACGATGAACCAGCAGAGCGGCAGCGGTTTCTGCTCTGAGTTTGACGGCAGACAACGCAAACAATCAGGAGTAGGTGGAGTTCATGATGGCATGGCTTTGCCAGACCACTTCCTGGGACAGTACTACACTCAGGTGAGGGATCATTTACATATTTCTACTCTTTCCTTTCTGTAACCCTTTGTAGGCTTTTGTCATCCTGGGCATAATTTTGATGGTTTTCAGATGTTGGGAAAACAAATCAAACTAGATAAAAGAGGTGCAATTTGTAAATGTCGTTGCTTTAACAGTTCAAAGAAAGTAGCTATCCTGAAAGCAAAGGATAGGTTTGGTCTTTACTCTTAAGAGGCCTTTAAGCTTTAATACAAAGATCCCACAATAAACTCAGAAAGAATATCTGCCAATATGCCGCATTCGCTCATTCATACTGAAAAAACATTTCTGACATAATCCCACAACCATGTGTGCTTTCACATAGTGATCCAGTTTCCTGGAACCAGTGGTGTAGAAAAAAGCTGTTATGTGTAATACAACACCGGCAAGCCGGCTGTGGCTTTTCACTTTGCTCAGAGGCGGATCAAATCGGACCCCCCTTTCTGGCTCCATACCTTTCCTACAGCACAGCGAGCCAGCTTAACTGACTGTGTGTTCTAACTAAACTTCGAACACTTTAAAGAACATGTCCTTGGGCACCACTATTGTCAGGCAGGGCTTAGTTTGTGTTATGTGCATATACACATGCCTCTGGTGTTTCTCCTTACAAATCATTTAGATTTGTGAATTTTTTAATTCGGATCAGACTAATACATTCATTGAAAGTTTAATTAAAACCGTTTGCACCCTGAATGCTACAAGAAGATTGTGATCAGCTAACAACATAGGTAACCTGATGGTTTCTTTCTTTTTTTTCCAAAAGAAGATGACCAGTGGAAACGAGAGCCTTGGTGTGAAGGATGGTCTTTTGGTTTACGATTACGAGGGCCAGGCCTCCCCTGCTGGCTCAGTGGGCTGCTGCAGCCTCCTGGAGTCTGACAACGACCTGCAGTTCCTCGATGACCTCGGGCCAAAGTTCAAGACCCTGGCTGAAGTGTGCGGAGGCAAGAAGATCGCAACTGAAGTCAAACCCGTGTTCACTCCTCCGCCCAGTGCCTCCATCAATACTCAGAGCTCAGTATCAAGTTTGAGGACTGCCCAACAGCTGCCCCCACCCCCCAAGCTGCAGCCGACTATTGCCGAAACAGGGCAGACTGTAGTCAGGGAGACATCTGAGCGTACTGAGATGGTGAAGGAAAGCAAGGCCGCGGTGAGGGAAGGGATGACCACGGTGAAGGTGAACCAAGGGATGGCAAATCATGGCCAGATGCTCCTGCTACAGCAGCAGCAGCCTGTCTACTACACCACCGCTCCTGTTGTGCAGTCGATGCAGTACGTAGTCCAGCCACAGATTCAGAACACCATGCTGCTGGCTGAGGCACCATCCACCAACTTGCAGGGCATGGTACTGGTTAATGGCACCCAGACTGGATCTTCCCAAGGCATGGTCGTTCAGGGGCAGACAGTGATGTCCAGCGGACAAGCCCGGGGCCCCGGCATGGTGCTGGTGGAGAGCGGCAGCGTCCAGGGGGGTGGTGCCAACCTGATCTACACTGGCAACCTCTCTGGCTCCCAGACCATGATGGTTGTGGAGGGCAAGGTCCCTGCAGGGTCAATGAAAGTGCTGAAGGGGAGCCAGACCTGCCTCGTGCAGGGGGGCACTCTACAGCCAGCAGGGCTTTCAGGATCTCAGAGAGTCCTGGTGGTCGGAGAGACAACAAGCAGCGGAGGGCAGCTGGTCCAAGAGGCAGGAGGTCAGTCCCAGAAGAGTGACGTCTCTGGCTCTCAGCAAGGGCAGCACATCCACTGGATTTAAGTGCTGTGTCTCATGTTACTATCTAGTCATGGTTTTTAATGTGTTTTCTACAAACATACAAGGACATTCTTTGGACTTTCTGGATATCAGGTTCAAATGTGTCACTGTACAGAAGATTGATGGAATGTTTCATGAATACTCCTTTTTAGAGATCAGTTAAACAAGTTGAAAGTGTTTGTAACATAAAGCAAAACAGACTTCTGGACACTAACTGGTAAAGCCACAGCTTTGCACAAGTAACCTGACCAGCTTTTAAGGTTTTTGAGACGTGGGAATTAAAATGCTTACCCAACAACCAAGGAGAAAACCTCCCCTCTGTCTGTGGGGGGGCGTCCATTTCAGCTCACTTGCACTTTGGTTTCTTGTGGCACAGCTTGATCTTAACACGCCTGATCTACTTTTACAAAGGTCTTAGATTATATTTAGATTTCATTGCTGCTCTTGAATGAACTACAGTAAATGTTTTATGTTGGACAATTTTTCTTTCACCAGTCTATGTCATGGTGCCATTTATTTTGTGTTATTTCCTTCCAGTCATAAGGAAGGCTTTAGTCTGTTGAGCAATTTGACCTTCTCCAGAAAATAAACAAAAATGTCATTGTAGTTAGTGTTGAACTTACACAGGTTTGTTTAGTACTATGCCGACATATGCTAATGTGCTGGAATACATTTTGACATAATGTCATCATGTCTGTCTCAGTGATGCTTACTTCAATAAAATCAAAAGTTTATGTTTGTGTGTGTCAGCATAAAGGCAGGCGTATATATAAAATTACTGTATATGACAAGCTTTTTTTTACCGTGCCCTGTTTGCTACTGTCGACATACTAACAAACTGTGTCCGTAGCTTCTGAACTTCTTTCCACCAGGGTCTACAATGAATTTGCCTCTTTCACTGACAAAAAAAGACAGGCAGTCAATTCAATTCAGTTTTATTTATATACAGCCAATTCATAGTTTAAAGTTATCTTATTGCACTTTTCATACAGAGCAGGTCCAGACCATACTCTTTGTAAATATAGTTAACAGTCGACCCAACAATTCCCACCATGAGCAGGCTCTTGGCAACAGCAACAATCAGAATCAGCTTTAAATATAAAAATATGAAATTGACAAGATAAACAAAATTTTAAAGAATAATAAAGACTGTGCAATATGCCACTTATTTACACCTGCAACAGATTAGTCTGTGCAAATATTTAACAGTATGTGCTGTAAAAGAGGGGGTGGACGGGGAGGCATGTGAGTCAGTGTCAATGATAAGGCCAACTGGGAAAAAACTGAAACCAAATGTGAAAACAGTCTCAAAAAGGTTTGCCCACCTATAAATGCCAAAATATAAACACTATTTCACATTACTAAGGTGGACAGTAAAGGGTGAATCTGAGCACTGAGCTCACAACTAAGGTTATTATAGTTTTGGATTTTTCATTAGTTTTTATTTTTATGTTATGTTATATTATTTTTATTTTATTTTATGTGAATTTGATAGTCTAGTTTAGTTTTTATTTTTGGAAAATGCTTAGTTTTGTTTTAGTTTTTATTAGTTTTAGTTTTAGGCTTTGTCGCTGCAGGATGCCAAGCTCAGTTCAGTTTAGTTTATTCACAAAACATTAAAATACAAGTACAATCAGAAATATTTGTGAAAAGGGACACCTTTTTTAAGCTATCTGAAGCGTAGGAGTCGAAACACTACGCAAATATATATATATTAAAACATTGTCTAAATAAATACTACAAATATATGAAGCACATGCTACATCTACAGTAGGCTATAATTTAAACCCTAAGAGCAAACTACCCTAAATCTACTACCCTGGTCCCAAGAAATTAATTACATCAGTCTCTAGCTCTGTCATTCTTGGTTAAATAGGTGAAATACAATTGATAGACAGTTAAGAAACAGGAAGATAGAGGAGGCCACCTTTGGAGCCACAAACAACAGGTCCCTAGCACCCTGAAGGCAAGTATGACTGGAAAGCAGTTAGGCTATATTTAAATGTAAACCTATATTAATCAAAAAATAGATTCTATTAAGACAGGTTGGCTGAGATATGAATGAGCACACACTAGCTGACATTCAGTAAATTTAATGACCAGCAGACTTTAATCCAGGGCAAGGGGAGCTCACAATCAATGGGCAAGGAGCAACTTTCTCTCACACATGCAGGACGAGCTCTGAGCCAGACCACTTAGACCACTAAGACAGTGACTCACAGCTCTGTACAGTTGTTGCATTCATATTATTTTCTACACATGTATAAAAGATAATAGAAAACATGTTCAAATCCCACCAACTACCAGACGATCCCTACCTGGGTCTCCCCGGCTAAGTTAGCCTCCCTCTAACGTCACATGGGGCTCTCCTCCTAACAGCGGCGTGCCAGCTCTTCACTGCCCACAACATCAGTTCCCCCGGCTTCATATCCACTCGAAATGTAGGCTTTCTATTCCAGTTAACGACAATGTTTTTTCACATCTAGTTGTCACCACAGCTGCTCTTTAACAGGTACAATAGAATGTATTTACTTCAGCACACATAATTGATATATCAGAATAAATAAAGGTATAGTGAGGTAGATGGCGAACATGACCATGTGGTCGTTTCGTCAGCAATGATCCAAAATGGTGTGATAGAGTGTGTGTGCTCCACTACAGGCAGTGGCAGGAACTAACACAGGTACAAATAGGCCTACACAAACCCTAATTACTGTAGTAAAACACAATATTTGCCACTTTATCACACAGGAACAGACAGCAACATTCACAATCGTGTTCCTGGACTTGAGTCTTGATAAACTCTGTTATTCGCTTCACATATTGTCAGAGCCAGACAGGTAAAAGCCCAGCAGCGTAGTGACATACAAAACATCAAACGTGGTAGGCACACAGAAATAAACAAGACTTTGCGGCCCGCTAATAAAGCTTCTGGATTCTAGCATGGCCAGGGCACAGGTGCTACTTAAATCCCCTTTCAGCAGCCAGCAGTTATTAAGTATAGTTTTGAAAGTGTGATGATAATAAAGAGCTACATTTTCTGAATAAGATGTGTGTGCATGCAGTGTAAAGTTGTGACTTCCTACATTATGGCACAAATGCTCGGCTTATTTGCAGGAGTGGGAACAGAAGGGTCCATGCAGTTTGTTCAGATAACATACATATCAAAGCAGTTTCAATTCTGAGCATTCATTGAACTAAATTAGTAGGTACACCAAGACACTTACATTGCTGTGTGTTGATTTGGCATGTTGTTGAGAGTGCATCAGTTGTGTTTTTGCATATTCATTTGGAAAGGATTGTTTTTCTTAAAAACAGTGCTTGTGTGAACAGGTTTTTTTTGTTTTGCCACTGCGTGTGACCTGAGCGCCCTCTGCTGGGTTTCTGCAACCATCAGTTGTTACGAATCTGCTGTATCCTGACCCAGTGGCAGGTGAATCTGTAATAAGCTCTGTTAAAATACTTTAATACGCTTATTTTTCTTGGTAAAAATGTATTTTCTGCATGTTGAATGTTAAAGAAGGCTTCCAATTACCACATCAAATGGGTGATGATGATATTGTGTGGTAGAAAGGTTGGATATGAGGGAATGTTTCACAGTGATTAATCCTGGAGGCCTCACAGTCCGTCAAGCTTGAGATGCTTTATTAAGGCTTTTGCCCAGAGACACTGATAGGATGGCACCTTGTTATGTTACCAACTGCTCTGATAGTCAAGGATGAGGAATGGAGCCCCAGAGTGATGGTTTATGCCTGAATCATCGCACAACGCAAGAAAGGGTATACACCTGCTACATCAACACAAGTTAACTTCAGAGTGTTAGCATATATTCTGGAATTGGGACACACTTCCACAGACAAAAACCATGTTGCAGATGTATTCAGAGAAAGACTGTTTGCTGGAATTTAGGTAAACACAGGGAGGTTGTGTTGTTTCAAATTCTTGAGCTCTAGTTGTGCTATGGAGCTATTTTTCTATGAGTGGGTTTTGTTTATCACATGCACAGACACAAGAACACACTTTAAATTGTGATTGCTGTTATTAGTATTGATAACGTGCTTGAAAAATAACTTACTGATACTGATACTAAAGTACTAACTAAAGTATTACTGTACTATTAGTAGTATTATTAGTAATTGCAGTAGCAGTCATTAGCACTGGAGGTGCTGTAGTGGCTGCAGGCTTTGCAACTTTGTTTAAATTTCATTTGACCTTTCTCAAGATGAGATAAGCCTTTTGTCTTAGCCTGTTGTTTTATATGTGATACACTGTGAATACTGGTTTCAATTGATTGTTTGTATTTGCCTGTATTGTTTATGTCTTCCTGCCCAGGGACTCCAGATGTAAATTAGCTATATAGCTAAGTCTGGCACAACGGTTGTGTTGTGCATGGCCGCTGTTAAATAAACTAAACAAAACATCTTGCAACACAGCTTACCTAACCACACAAAAGAAAATATATCTTATATTAATGTTTAGGAAAGTCAGTCAAAAGAGAAGCGAAAAGGCTTTTACCCCCTACAGGTTACCAAGACCGCTCTTTCTGAGATTACTTAAAATTCTGTACAAATCAGGGTTTAACACTAGCAGAAATCGGTTGTGACTAGTCCCAACGGAGTGCCATTTTAAAGTAGTGTTGGAGATAAAAGCTCAGGACTGGGCCAGATAAAAAGTCTGAAAATCTTCAGCAATACTTTACCATCAGCAAAAAATAGACCACTGTTGGAATCCAAAAGATTAAGTGGAGTGTTCAGTGCAATAGAGTTTATTCCTTCACAGGAGACAGTCCCATCCAGATGTTCCAGATTCAACTTCAGCGCATTACATTATAAAGTGAGGGGAAAAAACATTTGATCCCTTGCTGATTTTGTATGTTTGCCCACTGACAGAGAGATGATCAGTCTATAGTTTTAATGGTAGGTTTATTTGAACAGAATAACCAGAAAATTCTGAAAAACGCATGTCGAAAATGTTATAAATTGATTTGTATTTTAATGAGCGAAATATGTATTTGACTAAACTTGCTAAAGAAGTCTACTGGCGAGGAATTAGAACCATTAAATATGTGAAGTCCTGTGGTTAGTTTTGATGCTCTCCACAGTGATTTTACATTCATGGCACAGCAAAAAGCTGTTTTGGGCCTCATCTCCTTATAATGGCAGGAAAACCCTGTCAATATGACCTCAGAAACATAAAATAGAATTGTTCATGTTTCATGAGAGGTCATGGACAGAATAGGTTGTTAAACACTGGGTCTGAGGACACATTTTCACTTACTCTTGTAGTGGATTTAGTGTACGTTCTAATCATGAGCGATGACTTTGAAGAAACAAACGCTGAAAAGAAATATAAAAATATTTATTGATTTCCAAAATGCAAGATGGAGGGAGACTGTTTTAGATTAAATACAGTGAGGAAGCTTGACAGGTCTGGTCTCTAACAGTTAACACGGTTAACATCTCGTATCCTCTGAACGAACCCAGCTGATGGCTCCACAGCTGCTGGGCCTGCTGGAAGCAGATGACGGTACTTTGTGGATTTTTAGTTGTTCTGGGAGGCCTGCTGCATGATAACTGAGCAGAGACTCAACATCTGCAGGTACTCATCTGCACCATCTGACAGACATTTGCCCACAACCTGAACCAGAGAGAAAACACAAGCACAAACTGAAGATTTGTAAAAGGCACAAGTTCATTTGAAGGACTAAATGACACATCCGTGCATTATGGCTCTAATAAAATCAGTGAAATGATTGTCTAGTTTGTTGGATTATGTTTATTAGCTTAACTATTAACTACAGAGGGACACCCTTTCCTGTTACTAACTTTTCAGGGAACTACCTAGGGACCACGGCTAGAAACCAAACACCCATTAATGGTGTTAGGCCTCTGGCCTCACTATGCTAGACAGCTATCGAGGGCACCCATCTGTCCGCGAGCTGGACAAAGTCCCACAGGCAGGTAGAATACACCAGTCCACCACCCACAATACCTTGAGTTTTGGTCAGACTCCCCCCTCCTACTTCATGCGTGACAATGGTCATTTTTCCAACAATAGTTTACAGAGATTATTTGACTATATCACACTTCCAGGTGGGTCTGTACACAATGTCCTCTGGTTGGATTACAAAAATGTTTTACTCTTCTTAGGCCATAATGACCATCATTATGTTTGGGGGAAAAAAAAGGGGTGAAGCTTGCGAGCCATAGAACGTGACGCATAAAAACTCAGAAGGTTGGTCACAAGAATCTGTTGTAGGTTTTGAGACCTGGGTCCTGTTTCAGAAAGCAGGATTAGTGAAAATTCTGAGTATGTTAAGCCTGAGATGAGGGAAACTCTGGGTTTTCCGTTTCAGAGAGCGAGATCAGATAATCCCTAGATCAGTAACTCCGGCAACTGATGCTGTGAACATAACCTCATTCATTCTGTCGATATCAAAGCACATATCTGAACGCATTTACATCTTTAAAAACTTTAAAATCCCAGTTAGATAGGCTATTAGTTTTCTACCCAAACATGATCTTGAACATGACCGCTTTTATGATCAATCTGTCGGACAGATCTTCGCACATCGTGGATTTATCCTCAGCCCAGAATTAAATCTATGTCAGTCTTTAGGTAGGCTATAACGCTGTGACTCTGTGGACAGTTGCACTGAAAACACTTACTGTGTTCTACATTACTGCAGTAATCACTGTTTAATATGTAACCTATAAAACTGATCAATGAACAGTAGTAATCTTTCATATTGTAGTCGCACTGATTGGAACATTCGTAGTTAACGTGTTTTGACAGCATTAATAAAATACGAAATGAGCAAGATTTTATTAATGTAAAATTGACGTCTAAAACTTTCACCTATAGACACATTTTCCACTGTAAAAAATTAATAGGCTAACCTGCTGGGTGTGACTGTGACTTTACAATCACAGGTTTGCGAGTAAACTGTGTCTTATATTTGATCTACAGCCTACCTATTTTCATAATCAGGCAGCTGATTGCCACCGGCATTTTATCCCATCGGGTTACAGCTTAATAAATATAGCCTTCCTATTTAAAATCAAATGTAATGGGCTGTAGCACTTTATCATTCATTAAGGAAATTCCAGTCTGGTAAAGGATGAATGAGCAATGCTGTGTAGCAGCCTAATAATGTTGACGCATTGATCCTTCCTCCACTCCTGCATCAGGATCCGTGTTGGCACGCATTCATATTTCTAGCTCCAACCGATTAAAATGGAGGCTCTGCCTTTATTTACTCGTTGCCATGGTGAATCGTAGTGTCGGAGCGCCATTGATGATGGCTTTTTTTCATCCCCACGCACGCGCTTCAATCATGCTCAACATACTCAGAGTTGATTGAACTTATTCTGATCAGCTGTTCTGGAACTGAAAATTCAGAGTTTCCCACCTCAGGCTCAATCAACCCTCAGCTCAGGGATAAAACTCAAGAGTTTGTTAAGCCTGCTTTCTGAAACAGGGCTCAGGCCTTCACATTATGAGAAAAATCTGCAATGCGTGATGACACTGTTCATGCTTCTTCTCGCTCATTTGATACGTTGGCTGTCCTGTGTGAATTAGTGCCTCTGCTCTGAAGCTTGTTTTTATTTAATAAAAGTGTCACACTCCTTGTTTGTTTGTCATCACTGCAGCTCCACCAACATCACTTACTGCCATCTTCTCTGTGATGGCTGACTTCTGCTTGTCACTCAGGTCCTGCTCTATGATAGACTCGTGGAGCTGACTCAGGATCTGTGTGGCTGCATAGCCTTCATCCACCATGTTCTGACAGAGGAGACATTCAACATGTGAGAATGTGACATACAGGGAGGGAGGGAAAGCCAGCACAATACACATTCACTGGATGTCAATGTCCGGGATATGTCACAGAGGAAAACAGCTTGGTCATCGTTTAGTAAATGTTGTCTTTATTTTTCATGATGAAACTTTATACCCGATATTTTTAACTTAGAACATCTAGCAAGAAAACAAAGGCACATAACAATAAACTAAGTGCTGCAAATGTAGAAAGTAAACACAAGGACAAAGCACAGATGTGTCAGAACACCTACCCTGACGGCAACCTCTAGTTTCTCAAACGTTCCTTTGAAGCAGATCTGGAGCAAGTTGTCAATCATCTTGGGAGGGATGACCTACAAGACAGCGCGACAACAGAGTGACACGACTGGAACATACTAAGGTTACAGGTGAGCAGGACGTTTTAACAACAGTTAAACTCCAGTCTCTGTAATGACACACACAAGTATGTCTCACCCCAGCTATTTCAATCACAGTGCGTTCTGTGATCTCCTTGTTGACGTTGAGGCGCGCAGCGCTCTGCAGGAAGGTGATGGCTTTCCGCAGGTCTCCCTCAGACACCTTCACCAACGCTGCTATACTCTAGATGAACAGAAAAAAGTCATCGCACATTGACTTTATCAGCTGTGCTGAGAAAGCAGTTGCAGTTCTTCAGACAGCAGCACTGGTTTAAAACGACAGTGAATCTGTTCTATCAGACATATGTCCGAAGGGTGAAGGCGTTGACCTGGTGTAAGATGTAAAAAAAACTAATCACCAGAAATAAGCAGGATGCACTTTTATTCTCTCACTTTATTCTTTTAATTTCTAAGTTTTCATTTTTTATTCACTTGTCCTGTCATTTTGTTGTGCTCTAAAATGCTGTTTAAAGTTAGTAACGTTGGATTACTATTTCTTACTTCATGGGCAATTTGGAATAAAGTGTATATAATTTAAAAAATGAAACATGCGGCGTCCCACTCTCACCAACACCTATGTTCCCTGACAGGGTAATCCACACATATTTTGTAAACACACTCGCCCACACCCATTTAGGTTTTCCATGGTTGTCAATTTATAGTTGCCTTTTTCGTTAAACATGTCAGTGATTTAAACTGTTATTTCATTTCATTCTCATTGCTGTGCTGTTTACATATTTTGCTTGCCTGTTTTTTTACTTTTCCTTCTCCTGCAGTTCTTTTCTTTTCTTTAGTGTTTATTGCTGTGGCTCGGCTAATTGTCTTCTGATTGTCCTAAATAGCTAACACAAATAAAAAAATGAAACATTACATTTTAAAAGTTCAATAAATGCTTGATCAGTAATCTGGCATCTTTGCAATCAAGAGCAGCTTCCATGTATCAATTAAGTCTAATATCTGTATTTAAGTTTAAATACAAGCTGCCTATGTTAACAGCCCCATCTAGTAACATTCAGTCATCATTTTTCAGCAGTTTTATTATTGTTAAATTACTCTACTTCTTCTACATCAACAGTTGATTAACGAGTCACCTGTTTGCAGGATCTCTCTTGGAAAGCGCTCTAAATTTTTATGGTCCCAGTACATCAGTCAGTAGGGCCGGAACTAACTTGGTTTGGACCAAATCAAACTAACTGCAGGTGTGAAAGACAGCTTAAACTTTCTTTCAGGTCCACATTACAGCAACACTGTCATTTTCTTTCTCTTTTACCTCTTTGGTATACTTGAGGTTTTCCTTCTCGCAGATCTCCAGCAGGCGCTCTTCTTGGATCTGATTTGCTAGAGGTTTGAAACGAAACTTGGAGCATCTGGAGGTCAGGGGCTCAATAATCCTTGAGAACACACAGATACACAGCAGGGTCAGGATTAGTCACAAAGTGTGTTTGTGTGTTCTCAAGGATTATGACTGATGGGTCAGCTGACCTGCTGATGTAGTTACAGATGAGACAGAAGCGGGTGGTGCGGGACTCCTTCTCCATGGTCCGCCTGAGTGCCGCCTGAGCTGGTGCCGTCATGGAGTCCGCTTCATCCAGGATGATTATCTTAAAAGGGGGACACGGCTTCCCACTACAAATACAGGAAAACAGTGAGTGAGAGTTTTAGCATTAGTTTGGAATTCAATGACAGAAAGATATGTGCACACACGCATGCACGGTTGTTACAGAGCATTAGGACAATTACTATCAGAAACATTGCGCTATATTTGAACATACTTATGAGCAAATCAATTCTGACTCACTCAGTGCGAGTCCCAGCTACGGTGAGCTGAGCAAAGTTCTTGACCTTCTCTCTGATGACCTGGATGCCTCGTTCATCAGAGGCATTGAGCTCCAGAACCCTCTGTCTGTAAAGCTCTGGACTGGAGGAGGACAGTGGAGGACGACAGAATTCATACAAGAGCAGCAAAAAATAGGTGAATGATCAAATAAATAAAAAGGTGTATTGAAATAAAAGGGGCTGAAGTGGCTTATTCTGACCCACAGACTCATCAACAGCTCACTCACCCATAAAGTTCTCTGGCAGCAGCTAGGATGGTGGAGGTCTTTCCTGTTCCAGGTGGGCCATAGAAAAGCAAGTTGGGAAGCTGCAATTAAACCACAAACACTACTGAGACTGGGGCTGTGTGATATGACTAAAAATTCATATCGCGATATAAAAGATCTTTTGTAAATTCAATGAAATATTATGAACTCGTGATTTTTCTCTGCATCATAAAAGGTGGGGGGAGCTATTCTGGAGAATTCCAACACAGGACAAATACCATGATATAGAGTGAACAACGACACAGCAAGTAATGTAACTAACGAAGGTTAGGTAGGTTGTGGATTAGCAAGCTGTCGCCAACTCTCCTGTTGCTACAGCTGACATCACAACAACAGCACGCCGTGGTGAACTAGTAAGTAAGCTGAAACGTTACCTGACACACACATCATGGCTGAAACGACTAGTATAGTGCAGTGTGGCTCGTCATTACAACAGACTTCTCTCTTTGGAATGAACTCCTTGTTTTTGCTTGCGTGAGTTCTTCTGTTCAGTATTATCCAGTTATGAGGAGGGATGGCGATCAATACCTGGTTCTAAAAGGACCCAGTTCCAAAATTTCTTAAAACTCCAAAATCAATAAGGTCCAAGCTTATCGATACTGCTATCGAGACTAGCAGGTACTATAATGTAACGTTATGTCTGGAGCGTCAAATCTGATTTAACTTGAAACGTGATGGATAAGAACTGTAAGGCCCGGGACTGTTTTTCATCAGGCTGCAGTCTCTGCTGCTCTCTGTCAGCTCCCCTTGCACTTGCTAACCCTCCAGTTTTTCACTGCTATCTCCCGGCTTCCTACCAGCTCACAGCAGTTTCATGTTACGGTAGCTGGGTGGTGGAAGCTGCTGACAGACGTAACTGTAGATTTATTTCAAACAGTGTGGCAGTTCTAGCAAACGGTCCACATTTGTCTCTAGTTCATCACTTCTAAATATTCTCTAAAATCATGTAACATTACAGCAGCTAACGCTGCCCATTGCTAAATTAGCCACAAAGCTAATGCCGTGTTTATCAGTGGAGGGGAGCTAACATTAATGAGCCGTTACACTATAGTTTCTGGTGTATTCTAAATATATCTGCGAGCTGCCTGTCTTCACTGTCTGCGTGTCTGAGATGATTAAACCAGAGCGGGCATGTAAATAAACGTGAGCTGAACAAGAATCTAAAAACACGGCTTCCTGTAGCTCCTCTTTGTGTGATGTTGTAGATGTGAAGCGCTGTCAGAGCCGTAACAGCTGTGGTTGTAGTTATAATGTTAGTTAAATGAAATCTCAAAGTTGCAGATCCTCGTAGAGAGTCATGTTGTATTAGATGCATTCAACAGCAGCTCGCTGTATCCTAGACGGCAAGTTTTACAGAGCTTTTAGTTGGAGGAGCAGCAGCTTCATGGGATTTGAGGGAGACGGCTGAGGGGGAAATGCTTTGGAGTGATGCATCAGCTGCGACAGCGGAGATAACTAAAATATGCAAAGCCTGTGTTCAGAACTGTGAGGGGATGGACCAATGAGGCAACACTGGAATTACTGGCCTGCTTTGACCGCACTGGTTCGCTGTATATATACACACATTTCTCATTTTCCATGTCTAATCTACAAGAGAGGTTTGTCTGATGTAACATCATTTACTCCGATTTAAGGGTCCTTGGATACAGTTTATAACCAGTGAGTGACGAGCAGGTTCTGCATGCACAGTGAACCAGCAATCCCAATATTATCAGTTGATCAATTCTTTTAGGATGCTTAATTATTTTCAAATACAGCAACTGAAGTAATCTGTTGAAACTTCCTGTATTTTTTCATATAGCTATATATATATATAAAATATTGCAATGTTAGTTTTTTTCCCCCCCAATATCGTGCAGCCCTAAGACATATACTGTACATAACCACCCACTTCATGTTTATAAAGAAATCTAGCACTTCACCCATTCAATATTGATTCATTTGTACAATTTACATTTGTTACCAACCAACAGAACACTGTTGTTATTGTTGCTTTTAATATATATATATACACACACACCTATTTTTCACCTATAGTACAGTTGTGCTCATACGTTTGCATACCGTGGCAGAAAATTATTTTGGCATTGATTTTGAAAATATGACTGACCGTGCAAATACTTTTTATTTAAGGACGATCATATGAAGCCATTTATTATCATATAGTTGTTTGACTCCTTTTTAAATCATAATGATCACAGAAATCACCCAAATGGCCCTGATCAAAAGGTTACATACCCTTGAATGTTTGGCCTCGTTACAGACACACAAGATGACACACTTGAAAATGGCAATTGAAGGTTAATTTCCCACACCTGTGGCTTTTAAAATTACAATTAGGCCTAGTGTCTGTGTTTAAATAGTCAATAACTCTGGATGCACTGAGCAGACTAGATACTGAGCCATGGGGAGCAGGAAAAAAAACTGTCAAAAGACCTGCAGAATAAGGTAATGGAACTTTATAAAGATGGAAAGGGATGTAAAAAGATATTCAAAGCCTTGCAAATGCCAGTCAGTACTGTTCAATCACTTATTAAGAATTGGAAAATTCAGGGATCTCCTGATACCAAGCCAAGGTCAGGCAGACCAAGAAAGATTTCAGGCAAAACTGCCAGAAGATTTGTTCGGCATACAAAGAAAAACCCACAGAGAACCTCAGGAGAACTACAGGCTGCTCTGGAAAAAGAATGTGTGGTTGCTGCAAGGAGCAAAATAGGACTCCTTTCAAAATGAGCTGCGTGGTCGAGTTACCAGAAAGAAGCCTTTACAGCGCCAATGCCACAAAAAAGCCCGACTAAATACCCACGACAACATCTTCACACGCCTCACAGCCTTTGGCACACTGTAATTTGGAATGACCAAAATAGAGCTTTATGGTCACAACCATAAGCACTATGTTTGGAGAGGGGTCAAGAAGACGTATAGTGAACAGAACACTTTCCCCACTGTGAAGCATGGTGGTGGCTCACCAATGTTTTGGGGGTGTGTGATTGATGGCAAGATGAATGCAGCATGTTATCAAAAATACTGGCAGACAAATTGCATTTCTCTGCATGAAAGCTGTACAGGGGATGCTCTTGGACTTTCCAGCATGACAATGGCTGAAAGGGTTCTCCCTTCAGTCTCCTCTTCAGCTCGAGTAATGGATTGTCTGGCCAATCTAGAAGCTTCTAACCCACTTCGATCATGTGCAGAGCCTTCCTTGAGTTGGCTGTTCACTTTCTCTGATGAGTACATTTAGTTTTTTGTTCTCTACACAAAATGGTCAGCCCTGTTAAAATGACAGTTAATGTAAATTATAGACCTAGCTAAGCAAGCTAGCTAGTGCCACACACAGCCGTTTGCTCCACCATCTCGTCCAAATATGGTCACATCCGGTGTCGCTGGTTGCAAAAAAAAATAAAAAATCAACATGGCGGCGCTCTATCAGCCAAACTTGAGGCCCAAAAACGGCAGACCACAAACCAATAGGTGATGTCACGATGACTACGTCCATTTCTTATATACAGTCTATGGTCCGATCAAAGCATTTTCTATCTAGGACCGGCTTTACTGAGCACGACCCTAAGCCTGATCCTTTATTTTGCTTAATTGTCAAACAAGTGTCGTAAACGGAGAGCAGTGTGTAGCTACAATGTCTGCAGTGTGGAAAAATGTTAATGTTTTCCAATGACAAATATGTAATTTCACATAGGGCCATTATTTTCACCATATGTCAAGACAAAGAGTTGGAAAAGCTAGAGCAGATAATAAATAAACAACAGTAAAAGATCAGTCTACCGGGGAGGAACTACAAACTTTAGATTTGGGGAAAATGATTTGGTTGGTTATGATGCTCTCCACTGTGATTTAACATTTATTGCACAGCATGTTTTGGACATCACCCCCTAAAACCCTGTTAATATGACCTCAGATTTGTTACAGTTGTTCATGTTTGCCTTGTGTGCAACATGAGAAACCTCCTCCCTTCTGAGGTGCATTTTATTTGCACATTAAAATCCAAAAAGAAACATCTCCTGATTAGCTTAAAAGGACTAGTTTGCATCACTAATTTGCTTTACTAACCTCAGCTCCTCCAGTCACCTCCGTCCTTTCTTTTCCTAACAACCACTCTTTCTGAAAAATAACTGCACCAGTCTGTACAGGACAGAGCTGCAAGCTACACCTGTTTACTCTTGGATTGTAACTGATGTTCTCAACATTAGAGAAGTAGGCAGTAATAAAATACAGCTACCAGTTACTTTCTATTGAGCTGATTAAGTTACATAGCAGCCAAAAGAGGCAGCCTGCTGTTGAAGCTTTCCTGCTCTGCTCAGTCTGAAGGGAAGGAGGGATGTTAGCTAACTTAGCGCCAACTGGCTTCACTTTTTCAGCAGGTGAGGAAACAACAGACTTTTCTTGGTCTTGAGAAGCTAACACACTGTAACCAACACGTACATTTACTGACAGAATATTTTCCTCCGCTAAAGTTCACCATCACTATCTGCCACTCGGACAATCAAACACTCGCTACGCACCTCCTGATTCCTTACAGGAGTTACGCTGTTATAACACCGTCTGTCACGTAGATGTTTGGTATAGAACGGTGAGAGGAAGCTAGCTAAGCATTGAGTGTTGCCATGCTCCCACAGTGTGCAAGTGAAAACATCAGACTCGCTGGTAGAGTTTTGGATTATAAACATCTAAAACCTGAAGTACGATCTGGCTGTTTGGGACTGTGAGCTGCACTTCATCGGGAGCTGCAGAAGTTAACATGAGGATTTGCGCTGAGATGTCTGCCTGATTGGCAGTGTTGGTTTCGGGTTCTACCTCTGACAAAGTGCAGTGCTATTGTTTCATGACCGGGGGCAATTGTAACATTTTTTACATTTTCCTTAATAACTCACAGACTACTTGAGATACACAAGTCTTCTTTTGATACAAGAAACACATGTGCACTAATTAATAATATGATTGATAGATTTTCACTTAAAAAAATACTATAATATTTAATTAAATGCAAGAAGTCAGAGTGTTACAAGGGAAAGTAAGTCATATTGACCCACTGTATGTAAAGTCAAAGCCTAAGTCTACCTCAAAGTAATTACTTTACTGCTAATGTTACTTTAGAGTGTTTTTTATATGGTTCAAATTATTTTAGATGACGGGCATCCTCTGCTAAGTTCTCTGTTCTATCTTCATAAAATTGCTTTTCACAAGTGAACTAGTCATTCTCTTTGGTTTTGCTGGGTCTTATACAATTACCTACTTTAAATCCACTACATAGACAAACTGAAATTGAAAGGAACTTCACTTTTGCAGACTTAGGCCTATATAACATTCACAATTTCTGTTAAACACATAAAACACACATTATTTTATACAAAGAACGTTGACCTATGTTAATTGATGATTTGTTTATACTAGAACAAATCCATTTATTTTAATACACCCTTTAAAAATGTAGTTTTACATTTATATTTAGTGAAATATGTTCACTTTCTAACAAAAGTAGTCAACACAGACAAACAAGCTGCTTACATTGGGCCATGTGGCTTGGAACATCAGTGAACACAGTGTTGCAATTGCCCCCGATGTTGCAGCCATGATAAAATCTTGTATGCCCGCTAGCCACAACTATAATAGCATAGTTTGTTAGTGTTGTTAATCAATAACCCAGAGATGAAATCTATGGATGTTTAAATTTGTAGTAATTTAAACTTTAGACACCAGAAGAAAAATACTGTACATCCAAAAAGTTACTTTCATACATCAAAATCAGTATTTTGTTAAAAACTTCTGCTGAGGTGAAATGACAGGCAGAGAGAGAATCCTAATGAGCATGTGCAGATTAAGTGTCATCACTCTAGCTTGTTTCTGTTTGGAGAAATTGATTGCGTTACAATTGCCCCCTGTTACAATTGTCCCCGGTCTCCCCTACAGTCTGAAAGGGAGCACAGTGTATAGGTCAGGTGGACTTTTAAAAAATATTATGAATTCTCATTAAATAATGATGTTACTCTCATAATATTATGATTTTCTTCTGGACATATAAGAGAACAAAGCTATGTGAGATTCTGAAAGTTTTGAACATGAGCAGAAAACCTGCTGAAACAAAGACCAGGAGTTTTACTGAATTGAAATGAAATAATTTAGCGAGGTAAAAAGGTGCTACAACAAATTACTTTTTGTTTATAAATCATTTTGTTTGAATCAAGAAAAATAAATATTTATTTTATCAATTTATAATCATTTATTATGACAACTATAGAGGATAATAAAGTAAAGAAACATCACTTTACATTAACTAAATATTTTCATTTAGGAGCTCCTTGGGGAAAAAGGTTATTTTAGAGCGCCTGACCCAGCAGAATACAGTGAGTTCACTCTGCAACAAAGCAACACACACTGGAGGATACTTAGGGAGTAGTTTTGGGAGTTGCTGTCAACTACAAAATCTAGCATAAGAGCCTGATACTTACATCTGCTCCTTCCACAGATTTCTTGAGCACTGCTACCACCTCCTCCTGAAAGGCCACCTCATTAATACACTTCGGCCTGCTGGGATTTGCAAAAACGCAGAATTAAACCCTCTACGACAACAATAACCGTAAATTATTGGCATTGTAAAATCAGATATGGCAGACAAGTGTATTTGATTGCATTAGAGTGTACAGGTATACATAAAGAAGACACTGACATTAACCTCTGATACTTAAGTAGAAGTAGTGCTGGGCGACATATGAAATAAATTTCAAGTTATAATTTTTGTTGTTGGACAATGTGTAAAAATGTCTACATCGTGAAAATCAAGTTATTGTTTTTTTTTTTTTTTAGCATGGATGACAGTTGACTACATTAGCTGTCAGGACAATCCCATAATGTAAATTAAATAGGTAACGTTACACTATAGCAGTTTTTGGAATTGTTTGCTGAATCCAGATCTTTAGCTGGCTCTGGTCATCTTGTAGTGAATTCAATGGTAACATTTACGAGGGACAAAAACACACATGGCAGGAGAAGATGTATTATGTGATTAAACTGATGTGAAACTGAATTAAATGGCCATGTTTTACTTTGAATCATGTTAAATCCTCACTGGCAGTCTGTAGTTGTATGGGATAACCTGCATGTTCTGTTTTATTATTCTTAATCAGGTGTCACATGAGGTTATGAAAAATGTGTTTCAATCAGGTTTTTGCTTTCCATTGCATTTTGCAGGGGAACAAAATCTTTTCAAATTGAGACTTGTCCTCAAATTTGGCCTTTCTTTTTACTATAAAAGATTCTCGTGTACACAGTACCTGTGATTCAGGGGGAAAAAGGCTACAGAGGCAGAAACAGACATACTATACAGTACACTTACTATTTTTCTACCCAAGGTATGGCCTTGGCTTTCTTCTCTGTACTGGACCCTGCTGCTGCCTTGTCTTTTTGAGGTCTGGACGTCTGAACAGTTGCTCCTTTCAAAAAAGCCTGCATGACTCCTCCTGATTCTGGTAAAAGCAGCAGAAACAGCCAGGGATACACAAACATGCAAAAGACAGACACACACATTAGATAAATGCAGCAGCCCACAGCTTCCCTTACATTATTACATTATTACCCTTATAGCAGGGACTAAACAATACCCAGCTGCATAATAAGCTCATTTGTGAAAATGATTAAACTAACAGGAGAAGCTGAAAGTATATACTAACTGTGATAAATAACGTTACAACACGACTCAGGTGCGTTAAGTGCCAGACTCAATAAAAAATGTAACGTTATAATGTTCATTTAAAAAAGCGTCACAAGTTCAAGAATTATCCAACTCAACATTGTAACGTTAACGTTAGTTTGATGCAATTCGACGGAAAGATTGATTTTTAATAAGCTTAAATTTACACTAACTTGCTTTCTACCAAATGCTCAGATCGTTATTCATAGTAACGTTAACGTTAGCGGTTGATACCGAACAAGAGTGTTGACGTTAGCTAACTTAATAATGTAGAAGGTCACTTTCTCCGAAGTGTGTAGCAGTGTTAACTTACATGCGAAGAACCAAACCAAATTATTACTTTCTGAACTAAGTATGACAGTAACGTCAACTTACAAGGCCTAATGTCAGTCTCAATACGGACAATGAATGTTCTTCTCGTGGTAAAACCTTTTCTGCTAAAATTACATAACGTGCCGTTGTAATTTAGCATACAAACTGACAGTTATTGACATAAGACATCTTGGTTGCAACGGAATAAATTCATAGTTAACGTTTCATATAACAGACACGTTAACTTAACTAACGCGCAAACAATTTGCTAACTTAGCTAAGTTAGCCAATGCTGGCCTGTTTATTATTAGCTAACGTTAACAGCGTGAGCCAATTGTTAACTGTAGATTCTTCAGATAGAGGCATGGCGCTTACATTGGAAGTTATATCAACCGTAGTCGGAGTTAGTACGTTCCAAAAGCTTACAACGATGTTGCTCCGGATGACGGGTTGTCTCCGCGTTAGGTACAATCTGGTTGTTGACATGGATCAGAGCAGCAGCGCCTTCCCGCCGCTCTGGCGGAGAAAATAACTTCCGCCGACGGTACTGCGTGGTTTCCAATCAGCTGCTGAGGATGCTTGAGTTGGTCCTCCTCTTCCTTTCATCGCTCGCTCTCCTCCATGCTTTTCTTTTCTTTTTTTCTCCTCTCCTGTAGTCTCTTGTTTCCGCCTCTCCTCCATCCATACTCCGTAATCTCTCCCTCATCTCGTATTACGGTGCTCTGTAAAAGCCGTGCCTATGATAATGATAAAAAATAAAGAAAACATTCTCATTTTTGCCAGTTTGTTATAATTTCACAATTTACAAAAAGCAAATTCACTGTAACAAGATCACCAATGTTGCACATATGCAATAGTGCTTACGTGCATACATCCACATACAGCATGCGTTGTTCAGGGTTTTGCTCTGCTTTGCCTGCCAGCTGCTGTCTCTGCTGTTTGAAAGCGTTCAGTAGGGCCTGTAATTGGCTGGCAGAGTGAAGATCAGTGAGTGGCAGGGTGAGGCTGAGTGCAGATGTCTCTGACTAATGGTTGTCACCCAGGGAATCTCTACAGTCCCAGGAGGAGCCATGGGCTCATGGAAAAATGCAAATGCCCAAGTGTGGCATTGTTTGCTTTAATCAAAATGTGGAGCGGGATCAGCAGGGTGGCTTGTGGTAGCACTGAATGAACCCAGGCAGCCAAAGAATTAAGGTTGAATGATGGGTGAAGGCTGTGGATTTGTTTCGTTTGAGCCCTCATGAGATAATAAGATAATTAAGGTGAAATCAGAGCTGGTTACCAAGGAGACTGTGTTATTTCCCCTACATTTAATCTAATAGAAATCAAATAATATGTCATTTTTGAGAATCATTCAATATTCCACTAGCTCCAATCCATGCAGAGCCCAGCTCCAGACACCAGGATTTCTCTCATGAATCCATTAACCCCCACCCTATCTATCCACCCCCCCTCCCCCCATGTCTCTGTGTCTCCCTCCCCCTGTAGGCAGGTAGCAGCCCTCTGATTCGTTTTCCCTCTTTGTGACTCAGCTTCTTTATTAGAGCAAACAGAGCATCATCAAAGCAGCAGCAGTGTTTTCCTACCCACAGCCTGAAGAGTGTCCCTAAGTGGACTCACGAAAAAAAATAGGCTTCATATTCTTAATTCCTTCCTTTTTTCCCTGCAGAGCATCCTTTTAGGGGGACTGGCACGGACTAATTTTTCTTTTTTGTCTTCTGTGAGGATTTCTGTGATGTTGACATGGAAGCTTCTTTTTACTTTTTGGAATATGTTTGCCAGCAGCATGAGATAACGGAATAATTTTCTGGGCGGCTGATGTTTTTTTTGACTAATTAGCTTCTTTGAAGTACTTAGTGGCTGTTTTGTTCGCTGACTCAAATTACGGACAATCTGTTTCTTTTCCTTTATGATTTTCTGGTTGGGTTTTAACTAACTGCCTAGTTTGCTGACTGACTGCCTGACAAACTAATATTTTATTTTGTTCACTGACTGGCTGACTGAGCCACTTGCTGTTTTATTCCCTGACTGTCTGTCTTGGTTATTTCACCTGTCACTGACTGACAAGCCGGTTCTTTTATTCCCAGACTTACTATTTTCCTGACTGGTTGGGGAGTGGCTTCATCATTGTCACCCTCAGCCTCTGTGATTGTTTGGATTTGGAGGATCTGTCTGCTTGACATGAGAAAAATCTAAGACCTATAAACAAGAAAAGAGGAGAAAAAATCCACAGCAGAAAATTGGATTAGGTAGCAAAAAGAGGCGAGATTGTCGGGGAAGGAAGGGTGACGAGAGGAGGTGCGGCAACGGAGAGAGAGAGGGAGAGAGAGCGGCAAGAGAGAGAGAAGGGGAGGGGAGTGGATGCGACCCACACCCTGAGATGCTGTGCTGGCTGAGACAAGACGAGATGTCGGTCCAGGAGCTGCTACAGAGGGTGCAGTGTGTCATCACTCATGTTGGTAAGTCGTCACATCTTCCCTTTTTTCCCTCATCTTCCTCTTCATTTTTCACACCGTCCGGTGGTTTGAACAAGAAGAGCTTTCGTTTTCAAGAGTGTCCCCTTTGAGGAAAATGTACGGGAGAGCTCTCCTCTTGGAGTACCCCCTGTTGTTACTTAATAGGCCTGTATGGTAGAAGATGGGATATAAGGTTGGATCTTTTTCGGGAAACCCTTGAATTGGTTGAAAATGTGAAGAGAAGCAGAGCAGATTGAAGCGAGGCAGGGAATCTCCATCCTCTCATCAGGACCACTGAATGAAGAGGGATGCTCTGCATATGGCAGAGGAGAAAGTATGTCCTCAGGATACAACAGAGGATACAGGATTTTTCCCTTTCCCTATACATCCCTTCTGCCCTTTCTTTCCTCCTCGCCATCCCTTCTCTCGCTGTCCTCTCCTCCTTCCATCTCTCTCTCTTCCTTCCCTCCTCATTTTACCGGCTGGTGAAGAAGTAGGTTAATGTGTCACACTGGAGACTATCGCAAGGCATCCTCCATCACTGCACTTCCTGCATCGCATAGTGGCCAGGGGAGGGGGGTTTAGGGGGACGGAGGAGGGCTTGTGCAGTGTTACTATGGAAACTGAGCTAGCTTCTGCTAAGCAAGGGGCCCTGGATTGATATATTGGGAGCTAGGCCTACACTGGATGCTGCCTAAAGGTGTCGATTAAACTGGAGTTTCTTTCATCCTGTGAGGGGGTCTGTGTATTTCTCATGTATATTATACTCTTGCCAAAGCCCTTGTCTCCTATTTTCATATTTTATTACTCTATGCCTACCATTAAAGAATTACATGTCTATTGATCTTGCATAACATAAATTGTAACGCACAGTGTGGAACCTCTAGATGGCGGCACACACGAGAACTACACAATATACACAGATGCACACACATGCGCGCGCACACACACACACACACAAACACACACAAACAAAATAAATTACAGGGTCTATATATAAACATTCAGATAGTTGACAAAAATCAAACCAACTGCTCCAGTTGTTTTATCTTTACATTTTTATCCTTTAGTTCTTTTTTCTAATGCTTCTTTTTCACACTCATCTTTTCATTTAGTCGTAATGAGTTTGTCACACTGCATTTCACTACACATAGTAATTATGTATGTGACAGTTAGAAGACCTTGAATTTTGTGTCTCTTGAGTTTGTCCAGTTGTCAAGGAACTGTTAAATTTTTTTCCCCTGAGCACTTTCTCATCCATGTTTGATTAAACGTTGACCTTGAAAACAGCAGTCATTCAAAAATAATATCCCAACAAGACTCATTTAGTAGGTGCTCCTGCTCGTTTTGTTTTTGAGATTTTCTGGGTCAAAGGTTGTTATACCGGATTACCATGGCATAACTCCTCCTCTTATTGATTTTTAAGCAATGACACCTCATCCTCTCCTCTCTAATATCTTTGTCCAGTTCATTTTGAGTCAACTAGCAGTCTGTTGCCTGATTGTCATGTTGGCCCATCTTTAGTATCATGTGGAACAGACAGAGCAATGTTTACCTCAGCTCACCTAGGTATACGTTAAATTACTGGAGACTGATCATGGGAAGCTTTCTCCGTCGTATGACTGTCACATTGCATGGTCATCTGATGCTCCTATTAACACCACTGCATTAGCTCTCATTAGTTCTAGTCTGCTGTGGCTTCCTAACAACAAAACCCCCCAAAACATTTAAATAACCTTGTTTTTATTGTAGCTTGTTATTCCACCTATTATTCTTTCAACTACAAGGTAGATGGATAGATATCTAGAAAGGTTTTTAGTCAGGTGTTTCATCACTACGTTGATCATGTTAAAAGAAGGACAAGTAGAACAAGTAACATTTGTAGTATTAGCAGTATTAGTCGTCCGGTTTATTAGAAGTAAGAAAAGAAGAAAACATCTGGACAAATGACAGGACCACACGTCTTATTTAGCACAAGAGCCAACAGAGCATGTCAGCCACTATAGCTTCTCCTGCGCACCTTGGAAAGGGAGGGGTGAGCATGATTCATGTGGTGTCAGAATAATCAGAATCTTAAATCTTTTTTGCAAAAACAGAGAAATAAGGAAGTAGCCTATAAAGAAATTATATATATACATATACATATTCATGTCATTTGTAACATGGTTATAACGGTTAGTTTGCTGTCCATGTAGAGTGAACTAGATGTCTGCGTGTTGTTTATATGCTCTGATAATGTTAATCCAACAAATGTGATAGCGCCGTGAGACGCTGGTTGCAATTCGCCATCCTCACCAATAGATGCCACTAAAACGTACACACTGAACCTTGATAACACCCCTCACATTTTTGCAAATATTTGATTATATCTTTCCATGTGACAACACTGAAGAAATAACACTTTGCTACAATGTAAAGTAGTGAGTGTACAGCTTGTATAATTTGCTGTCCTCTCAAAATAACACATCACACAGCCATTAATTGTCTAAACCGCTGGCAACAACAGTGAGTACACCCTTAAGTGAAAATGTCCAAAGTGTCCTTTATTTTCCAGCACCTCTTGGGCATGGAGTTCGCCAGAGCTTCACAGGTTGCCACTGGAGTCCTCTTCCACTCCACCATGACGACATCCCGGAGCTGGTGGATGTTAGAGACCTTGCGCTCCTCCACCTTCTGTTTGAGGACGCCCCACAGATGCTCAATAGGGTTTAGGTCTGGAGACATGCTTGGCCAGTCCATCACCTTTACCCTCAGCTTCTTTAGCAAGGCAGTGGTCGTCTTGGAGGTGTTTCTGAGGTCGTTATCATGTTGGAATACTGCCCAGCGGGCCAGTATCCAAAGGGAAGAGATCATGCTTCAGTATGTCACAGTACATGATGGAATTCATGGTTCCAATGGACTGTAGCTCCTTCTCTATCTGGGTCTCATCAGACCACAGGACATGGTCCAGTAATCCATGTCCTTAGTCTGCTTATCTTCAGCAAACTGTTTGTGGGCTTTCTTATATATCATCTTTAGAAGAGGCTTTCTTCTGGGACAACAGCCATGCAGACCAGTTTGATGCTGTGTGTGGAGAGCATATGGTCTGCTAAACACAGGGTTAACATTGTGAAAGCATCGCAGTTTGGTTAGGTTTAGAAAATAAAAGTACTTGGTTCATTGTAGCTGACGCTTTTATCCACAGAGAATTTCAATTGCCATATATGTCAGAGATTGGGTTAAGTGCCTTGCTCAGGGACACATTGATGGATGCATCACAGTGGGAAATTGAACCCAGGCTTCTCACACCAAAGGCATGTGTCTTAAACACTGCGCCATTTTTGCACATTTCATGGTACCAGTTCAGATTAAGTCACGTGTGGATCCAGTGGTCCCAACAGTGTTATTCTGATGACATCATTACTTCCACCACCTCCACACATACACACTCTCTCTTTGTCATTGCCTATATACTGCGTAACAACATGACTCATAGAGAAATGCCCTATTGGTGGCTGATGACATCACAGCAGGATGTGTAATTCACCATAATGGCTATCTTCACCCTCATGCATAATCCATGAGCACATATGCTGCTTTATGGATGCCGGATCAGAACTGGCTTCTCCTGTCCCACAAAGGCATGCTGTCAGGATGATTAGTGCTGAGGACTGCAGATGAGAGCTTGCTGCTTGCTGACATATTCTTGTTCAATTTAAAGGTCCCTTGAACCGAACCACCTGCCACCCTCAAGGGTCAAGGTAGGTTCAGGTACCTGTGGTATCTGTCATTCTACAATACAGGGCTGCACAATGAAAAGAAAGTTGTAGCCCCCACCACACTACACACAGATAACATATATACAAATATATAAAATTAGAATAAAAATAAAAATAACATATACATGCAGTATAAGCCCTGCCCAGTCTGTAGTGTATCAAAGGAGGGTGTGTACAGGGCCCTCATGAGTGACCTTCAGAGTTTCCAGTGAAAAAGGTCAGGCTGTAGGGCGGGATGATGCTGCATGTTGTCTTGTTTTGTTGCTCTGGGCAACCGAGAGAATAAAGGGAGGACACTATCTCTGTGAGTGTGCAGGGAAATTTCTGTCCTTGGAAAGGATGATAATACTAAACATAATGCTGGATTCTTAGAGACTGTAACATAGTTGTGCAAGGCTGCTGATCAACACTTAAACAATTTATGCCTCAAAACTAACTTAATGCCAATACTCTACTGTTCTGTGATAAAAACACATTGTGTCTATTTGAGTTTTTTTGACCCTACCTCCAAGAGCAGAGCGTTTAGTGATTTGTTCAAACGTATTTGGCAATAATAACATTGTACTCACCAGATTTATCACTGAGATCTGGGAGCATGGGAACATAAAGAGAAGTCGGATGGGGCAAGAAACATGAGCAATTTCACTATGAAAAAATAATTAATACATGACATACATATGTGAAGTAGTTTCCCCCGCGGTAATATGTTGGGGCTCAACAGCATGGTATGTGGTATTATTGCATTTTTCATCAATGAAGTAATTTGGTGCCATATAGCAGAGTAAGAGTGTCTGTGGATCTCACCTCACTGCACAGCGAGCTGCTAACAGCAGCTTTATGGTTGGAACACGCTAGCTGCTGGGTGCTAGTCAACAACATTGCCAAGCAAACTCATTTTTGTAGTTTGACCATGTCTTTTTCACCGCTATATCATTACCTTCAGGGCATGTTTATGAAGTCAATTGAAGTTACATACCGCAGCAACGCGCATGCAGACACACATCGGTATGAAGCAGAATGGGCTGTCCACAACTAATCACTGCGCTGTAGTAAGGTTATGAGTAAATTTCCACAGAAAGCAACATAAAAAACTGCCGCAGGCATCCGACAGACTATGCTCATTAGTTAGTGGGCTTCAAATGAGGCTTAGTGTACACACTTTCTCTTGACTGTTCCTCAGGATTACAACGTTATTCCAAAATCACCAAGCCTGCTAGCCACATTAGCCACGCCGTGTGCTGACGC